AAAAGGACCATCTTGTGATGATCTGACACAAGATGATACTTAGGGTGCTTTCACACATAACCCCTTTGGTTCAGTTAAAAGGGACCCTGGTGCTTTAGCCCAATTAGTGGGGTTCATTTGAGGTGTTGGGAAAGCTTCTGTTAAACTAAATCCTTAAATAGCTAAAAAATGACCACACACACACACACCTCAGCTTCGTGCTGTCGACCCTCTATGCTCCACTCTCCAGTGGGGCTATGGAAGGACTCTAGCTTCTGCTTCATGATCATCAGCCACTTCTCTATGTTCAGCAGACCGTCGTGGAAGCTCTCATGGTCTGCAATGCTCTCCTCGCTCTCATGCACCTTTACCTGCAAACAAGAGGAAAAGATCAGCTGGACAGACAGTGGGGCAGCGAAAAAACGCTTGAAAATTCATGCAATGCACTGGCATTATCTGCACAGACAACAGTTAGAGTTATGCAAAAAGTAACTTTATATCCCAGCATTGTCACAGATGTTGCACTTTACAGTCCAACTGAAACTAAAAATCCTGACTTGTGCAGTTATTTAATAAAGAGCAACAGATTAGTGTACACAGTCACTTGACAACAGGATTAGCAGATATAAGATTCTGCCTGTAAGTCAGGAGAAGATAAATCACACAGTGATCAGAGCTGTTTGGAACAGAGCAATATGTATTCTTTAATACAGTTTAGCACTGGTCCACTGGGTTTTTATCCCTTCAGACACATAATGCACTGTTTTTATTTTGAAGTTGGCTGAGGGTTGTTCTGTTTAAGTCCCTAAGAACAATGAGCAGGGAGTCCAGATGTTTGAGCTCTGTGGAAGTTATCTGGTCAGCCAAGTGTTGCTTATATTAAACAGAGGGAATAGAATAACTACTCCATTGTGCTTGTCAAATTCCTATTTTTGGTGTAAATTGCTGGTGATGGCTTAGGTTTACTCTGAAAGTTAATCACGTAGATTAAAAAACTGTGAGAAAAATCCATACAGGAACTCCACCGATTCTACACATAAATTTTTTTAGCACTACTCTACTGCTACTAAACGTTTTAGGTCTTGAATGTCAGAGGGAGCTGTGTGAAGAATATATGTCTTCAAGTGTGTATTTTACTCATCTACGTCTGTGAATTTATTTTAACCAAAGAGTTGGCGATCATATATATCATATATATATGAAATTATATATGTATTATATATATATATATATATATATATATATGGGGGGAAAAACCGCCCATTTGAGACCAAAAATGTTATAGGGGTTCAGTGCTAAACCAGTGGGCTACTGTTAAAGCAGTATTAAACAGCTAAAAGAGCTGCAAAGCTCAGAGCATCCGAGAGGAACTGCACAATTCACAATGAGCAACCCTTTACCCCTATAACACATAATTTCGTCATTTGATCTATTATTAATATAAGGAAAATAATTGATGCAGCATTCACTAAGGGTGGAGGCTCTATCACATATCGAGGATGAGCTGTAGTCAGACAGCAATGATTCAGAACTTCATCCACTCTACTGTCTTACCCTTACTGCGTTGTACAGGTGTTTCCAGTCTGCATAGAGCCTCTCAAACTGAGTCCTGTTGCTCTGACTGGATGACACTAGGGTCTCCAGCGCTGTGATGTGGGCTTCACAGTCCTCCAGGTCCTTGTGGATCACCTTAGGACACACAAGACACACAGTGAGACAGCGCACAATAACACACAACTGTGGTTTTAGTTTAAACCACAGTTCATTGCCTGAACTTAAAGTTTATTAATAACATGATTTCAAAAAAATCTAATTTTTAGGTACTGGATACTCTGCAGTCTTTTATAATGAATAAACTGACAAAAAAAAGCTGTTTCAAGGCTCTGCAGTCTGAAACAGCTTGTTGTTCATTTCTGAAGAGAAAAGTAAATGAAATTGTTATTTTAAAATAATAACTCTGAAGACCTGAACACAAGTCTTTACTCAAACAGCCTTGTCCTGCATTAGGGAAGTTAGAATAACCAGAGAACTAAGTTAAAAACAAAACAATACACAACATAGACAGAGAATTGTATAAAAAGTTCCATAAACATACCAGGAAAACTAATCTCTGATCAATATTCACAGGAAATCATCTCTAAATTCATCCAGATCTCTGGTTTTACACAGACCTCCTGCAGTTATTGTGTTCACTGTTTGGGTTTACTGTGCAGTTTATCTGTTCTCCTGTATTTGTTGTATATAAGATGAAATATTAATAAAATATGACACTTAGTCAGGACTTGTTTCCCTTAAGGAAAAAGGTTGGGAAACACTGGTGTAAATGTAGTAAATCAAAAGCACAGCATTAGTCTTATTGTTGGCAATGAAACCAGCTGTGTGAACATCCTTCCATCAAGCACCAGTGTCTTTCTTGAATAGGATAAATGCCTACATTTCACATACTGAGTCACTTCCTGATCTTTGCACTGTAGTTACCTACTGCAGCTTTGCAGAAGTTTCATGACACTTGATCTGAATTCATCTGCTTAATCTGCTGGAGGCAGATAAGACAGTGTACACAGAGCAGCTTGTGTTCCAGCAGACATTTTGACCTGGGATTAAACTCACCCTGAACTGGTCGGACTGGCTTTTCTTAGCCAGGATGTCAGGCTGGGGGCCGTCAGCTGCCACCAGTCGGTCTCGGAGACTGGCCAGCTTGGATCGAATCAACTCATAGGCATCACCAAAGTCCTTGGTTCTGGAGATTAAGCCCTGAGAGTGGGAAAAATGTCTCAAGTGTGTTGTTATACAGCCAGTCATGTCAGGATTGCATGTTAAAGAGAGTATTTCCTCTCTTCCATATTAAAATGAGGTCTGCACAACCCACTGCTTTGTCATATTTTTCAAACTCCATGTTGAAAGTTGGTCCAAGGGTTAACTGTGACACACATCCATAAAGAGATGAGGACCTATTGTGAGAATATAATATTCATAGGTATGTTTTCATTAGTGTATCATCACCTGAAAATAAGAATTGTTCTGTCCTCTTGTATAAGGCAGAGTCCGCCATGTTGAACCACCATGTTTCTATAGTAGCCCAGAAAGGACAAACCAAACACTGGCTCTAGACAGGACCTTTCACAATTTTTGCACTTTTCGCAGTCACTAAAGTTTCTCCTTCGTGCTTGCAAGTGGAGGGTGAAGCAAGTGTGTTGCAATCTGCAGTTACAACACTAGATGACACTAAATCCTACACACTGAACCTTTAAGTGGAACTCTAATAATCTCTCATGTGTGTCTCCAGGTGTTGGGGAGTATGACTGCATTAAGTCTTTTGTGGCAACAGAGGTGTGCAAAGTCTGATATGTTGCCTCGAGTGCTGTCACATGAGTCAGCCTAAATAAGAAGATTTCAGGGTAAAAAAAATAAATCCTCCTTGCAGCAGTAGAATGCCTTCCTTCACGGTGTTCCATCCCTACTATTTAAAAAATTTGATTTCTACTCAAGTGGGTGTCCACTGCATTAAAAATGTCAAAACCAGCTGTTTCTTCTTGCCGATGGGATATGTTCAGTTTTCTAAATGGTTTGGATAACTTACATTAAAATTTAAGATGCAGTTAAGCCAAATGAATGACAGCAGCATTTAAGTACCTGTAGTCTGCCCTTCCTCTGCAGCAGCTGAGTGTGCAGCAGCTCTCTGTTCCTGATGGCAGCGCTCAGCTCATCCTGCAGGCCATCGGATCTCTCAGGGCCGAATACAGAGTCCAGCAGGTCCCCCTTTACCTGCAGCAGACCTAAACGCTCCTGCAGCTGGACGCTCTTCTTCAGCAGGTGCTAACATAAAGGACAGAAATGGAGGACATATGAAGTCAAGCCTTCCTTAAAGGTTCCACGCTGCTGACCAAAGTAAAGCGATTTCACAACTATTGGTGCACTTTCATAATCAAATCCACACAGTAACCCATACATAAATTTTGATTAAGTTCAACTCCAGAAAAAATCTCCACACAGAACTTTTTAGAAAACTTCATAAAGAATTTTTATGATAACAGCACTGCCGCAGTGACGCAACTATTACACAAGCTTTCTGATCTTTTTATTAGACATACATTTGTTTTTTTTTTCAGTTTCTTTGCCTTGGTGACCCTTGGATACACTTATCCAGATCCTGACAATGTATTAGCAACATTGTTTATCTTCATTGTTTTATGTAATAGTGAACAGTAGAGTGAGACAAGAAGCTTTGGGAGAAAGCTGAGGCAACAAAAGCGCCAACTGAACAGGTTTCTGACTGTACTTGTCAGAATTGCAACTGATGTAACTAAACACTGCACTGAAAATCAATTCAAAACAACTTTGTTAGGGGCAAATACATTCAAATATATGATATGACACATTTGTAAAATTCTCTGACATTAGAGATGTTATTGGACTATTTATCAGATCCGCTAGCTGTCTCTGTCTGGAAGATAACTCACAGTTTCATAAAATATGTATCTGACAGAAAATCAAAGATGAGTGGCAACCACTGGCATTCTGTATTCTGTGTTATATTTTAAGTGTTGGAGTGGTGTTTGATTTAAAAGTAGGATCACAGCTCAAACAGACTTCAGCTCTATTCTGTGCTATAAAAAGTTTGTGAATGTTTTCTGAGGTCACCTAACCTGCTTGGTTTTGTTCAAACAAACTCTGATGTCTCTGCCTGTTTGATCCCCTTCATGTAGGCTGATATGTAAGCTGTCAATCAAACTCTGGTGTGGTCCAAACTTTGAACTTTAGTTATACACCATCAAACTCACTTTGTTTGTAGTTGTGAAGATGCAGACGTGTGTGACGGGAACATGTCACATTTACCCTACAAAAAAAGCTATTTTATTCTCAGTGGAACAAAAAAATGATTTATTATTAAACTATTTTTGCAATTTTCACTTTCTCCTGCAATTTCATTGCAAACAAATGCCTGAGAACATCACAATATGCAACACAATCCAGCATTTTAATCCGCAACAATCCTACAAAAAGCCCACGAAATCCTGGAGAGGCTCAATAAGTTACTGTGAGCACAAAACAGACAAGACCTAAAAGGTCCTATACTTAGGTTCAAGTCCCTAAGTATTTTTTCCTCAATGTCCTTTATAGCACTTAAGTACTAGCTTAGATAAGCACAAATCCATAAATTTTTTTCAAATTGGATTTTCTTAACACGCTTTGTTTAGTCATTAATCACCAGGGGTTGCTTTATGGATTTTCCAGGAATACAATTTTTTATTATGAAAACTTTGTCTTCTTTTGTTGTTTGCTTTGCGTGATAAATATGCAAACATTTAGATGTTGTCGTTTGTGTTTCCACCTCTAACAGAAAACATTCTGTGGGGTTTTTCCTAAGCACTAAATATAGCCATTAATCATTAATGCTGCATTCACATGGATTCAGGCAGACGGCAGACAGACAGCACCTTCCTCAAAGCACAGAAAATTCAAACAAACACTCCAACGGCAAGGCAGGACGGCGAAATGAAACACACATGTCGTTGCTATGGTCTCTGCTAACAGAGAACGGAATACATATGTTAAATACATTTTTTTTTTTAATATAATTTTATATAATGTATTACTTTTTAGCAGCTCGTTGTGCAGATTGTCCATCTTTACTCCTTGTGTGTGGGAGCTACATAACATCTGCTTTTAATTTCCAACATGGAGGTTTGCTGACTACCGTTTGCCTGAATCTATGTGAATGCAGCTTAATGGGTTAAACCTGCAATCATTTATTTTTTTGGCCACTTGGAGGCACAAGAAACTCGCTCTGAACACACTGACACATAGATAGATGATAGATGAGATAGATAGATACTTTATTTATCCCGAGGGAAATTCAATTTATGACATTTTGAGTTAATATGGCAAACACTTGCTTATTAACATACCCAGCACTAAAGGAGGAGCATTAGCATTCATTTGGAGTCGACTTTGTGTCCACCTGATAAACTAGTAGTACAATTCACTCTCTTCTAGCTCTGGTTTTGGTAAATGCTCCACTGTGTTCATCAGCCACTCTCTAACTGTGTCTATCAGCTGTTTGCTGCTGAGTAGGTAGCATACAGTGGCTTTTTAGAGCTTTTTTTGTTTGTATTTTGAAAACAGCTGCGTGTTGCAGCTGAAACACTATGAGCAGCGAGCCAGAACTGAAACTTTCTATAAAGATCCATAAAGCGTAGGGGAGCTGCAGATTCAGGTGGTAAAACATCTCTTATTACATTTTATACATTGTTATCTTTAAAATATCAATTATAGCCTGTTTAAGGTAACGTGTATGCTTTACCTCTATGTTCTGGACCAACATGGCAATGTGGGAGAAGTCCGTAACCTCGGCAGAAGCTTCCAGAACCTGAGAGACCACGTGGCTCCACTGGGCGTAGACCAGCAGTGGGTCCTGGAGAATGTTTCTCAGCCCTGACTCTGACTCAGAGCACAGCCTCGTCGCTCTGCATTTCACGCTGCAACATGAGCACACAACACATTTTCAGCAACAGAGATTTACAAGATATTTTCTAAATTGACTTACAAGGCTGTAACAACTACTTGGTACATATAATGCATGCAAAACTATGTGTGTGACAAATTAACAGGAAAACCTGAATGTATTAGTAAAGAAACATAATGAATGCAGATGCTTCCACAGTTGCACTGCATAGTACAATTAAGCAATTAACATCCAATCATGCTCTGTGGCATGTATTAAATACTGAGCAGGCCCAGTGGATTCTGATTTTGTATCAAGATGGCAAGAGGAAGTGAGTTTGAAAGAGGATTTATTGTTGGGGCACAGACGGCGGGAGATTCAGAAACTGCTCGACTAAAGTGACATCTGTATTTCAATCTATGGGAAAGACATAATGAAGTAGGGTTGGTTGTGGTCTACAGTGCACATTTAATGACTGTGATATTTGTACATTAGTAAGAAAAGTAAGGAAAAACATCAACTCTTCCTCACGTGACAATTACGCAGAGAGAATATTATAGTAGGCTGCAGTGCATAAACCCCTCATTACTAAGATGAATGCACATCTGATCCTTCAGTGGTGCAAAAACCATACAGACTCTGGTCTACAGAGATGTGGGTGAACAAGTGATATGGTCAGATGAGTCATCCTTCACTGTATTCTCGACAAATAGGTGAGTGCATGTGTAGCGTACACCAAGAGAATGGTACAAGCCTGAAGGCCAAAATGAAGCCATTCTGGTGGCAGATGGTGGCCCATACCTTACTGGTTCTGAATAAATACCAATTAACTGCTTATCTAGCATAACATAGGGTCTTTTAATCAGTGCAAAGGTCAGGTCAGTTGAACATCCCAAAATTTTAAATGTATCTACAGCCAAGCATATATTGCTAGTTTCCAATAATCAATGAATATTTTCTTGGGTTTAAAGGGGCAACAACTGCTTTTAAACTCAGCACAACTGACTAAATTCACTAAAATAACGTGTCTGAATATCGTTTGTCTTCCTTTTCCCTACAATTACCACTGAATAATAGAATTCTTTCCAGGAAATCCAACAAATTATTAGGAAGCTATGAAGAAATAATGGACCCATTTACCCAAGTTTTATTAGCACCAAGGGCAAATAGGGTTAGGGTTCATAATTAGGGGATTAAAACCACAAATTTTACGTAACAGAACAAATTGTGTTTTGTCTTGTGACTTTATCATTACCTCCCAAGGGAGCAAATTGCTCAAAATAGCTAACTCATGTCTGAGTTTTAAATATCTGGAACTGGAACACTCCATTAAGCCCCACAAATCTCTGAAAGTAGCACTAAAAGCTAAGTAGGACAAGGGACATTTAATTCAGACACATGGAATATTTCTTTATTTTTTTTGTAGTTTATATTGTTAAAAGGCAAAGAGAGCATTTAATCATGACGTGATTCTGTGACACATTTTGACTGGATTTTACCCAAGCATTCCTTATTATCATTTTCAGGTAGAATTTGGGGAAAATGTAGTTTTAAGTTGTAATTTTCTACCTCATGAAACTTTTTATTTTTATTTTGCATTTCTTGTGGTCTTCTTCTCCTCTTTTATTGCTAAAATTACCACATTTTGAGGTGTGTTACGGCTGGATTACCAACAGGGCAAAGTGGGCAACTCACACATAGCCCCAGACCCAAGACCCCAGAGGTCCCAAAGCCACAGGTTCAATTGTGGCAGTTAATTTGCAGCAATTTGAGTCACTGTAATTTTGTTTGGGAATATGTGAATACATACTCACAAGTGAGTCTCTATGCACTTTGCTCGATATGTAGCACTGAAGCACAATATCAACTTTCAAGGGACATCACACGAGTCTTGCTTTAACTGACCTTTGAAGAGCATCCTAGTATCAACATCTAGTTTTTTGATGATAATAATAATAATAATGGTAATGTTCTAGGGCTGCACAATTAATCATATTACATACATATTAATCATGATCCTTAATTTCGTTTCCCACAATTAAATGAACATAAGCCACTCAGATGTTGACGTTTAAAATGTGTACTCGGCTCACAGAAAACTCTGTTACATATGAAATCAAGCGCTGCCTAAATTAACAGCCAGCCAATAGTGATCCAGATGTTAGGGTTTCACTTCTGGGGAGCTGTCATGTTGTTGCATGCTGCTGCAGCCTGGAGACTTTTATTCCCGGATAAAAAAAGATTGAAAATGAAACATTTCCTACTGCTACAACTTTTAACTGGCGAAACACAAGTTGAAATTTATTTTGAAGTAAGCTAGTCACAGGAATTGATTACCATCAAATCTACAGTCTGAAATAAATGTGTTTTCTGTCAAACCCATGGGATGTGCATGTGACCTTGTACAGCTGGTGGTAGAACATGTAATACGCAAACAATATGAGGACCTATTTATCAAAACATTAACTCTGCAGTTGTCAAAACTCCACATGGATACTTAAACCTCCTATTTATTTAATTAATGTGAAATACTTCTACAAAAACAACAACATTAAACAACATATACTTGGGTGTATGCAAGTGGCTGTAACACCAGAATCACATAATGTTCACATACAGCCTGCATTCTTTGTTTGTAATTAAGAAGTTCATCCACTAGGTGGCAGATGAGCATCAAATCACCCCTGGCCAACACTTGACTGTATTCCTGCAATTCCTTCCAATTCTGCAGAATGTAAACATGAGTAAACATGGCAGCACACAGGCATACTGTGTCGTTAATAGCAGAAAAAGCAGCAGCACAGACCATACTTCGCATCCTGATATACTGCCCCTGCAGTCCATGGGCTACATTGCATCTTATGGAGGACACGTGATGAGATAAAGGATATGCAGGGTAACCATAAAGTAATAGTAGAGTTAAAAGCAGGTATATCAGAGCAGTCAAAATGATCTTGGGCCATTTCAGTATTTGAAACCATGCTCTTTAATTCCTACTGCCGGCAGGCTGACAAAACACTCCAGCCTAGGTAACCCTTTAACCTTTATCCACGAAATCATGCAATGAATTTGCCTCCTTCACTAACAGAATTCCTTCATAGTATAGTACCTGCATTGACCTTACATCAACCTGAAACCAGTTCAATTAGCATGACACAATTTAAACCTCTCCTGCTGCCTTGATATTCAGTTTTTGTCAAAAATATTTTTAATTACAAGGCATCAGATCTTTTGCAAATAGTCTACTCTCCCACAAGCCTTCAAAACTGCATTTATTAGAACAATCTTGACACCTCACTATGAACGGTTGTAGGCCATATCAAACCTCCCATTTTTATGTCAAATCTTTTTACGCAAAACTATGTTTTTCAACATCAACCCTTTCTTGGAAAGAAGAATGATTAAAGTCAGTGATCATCTTCAGTCGCAAACATTAACATTACTGTCTTTTTATATTTCCTTGTCTTTCTGTCATATGTAAAGCCTTTTAAATTGCCTTGCTGTTGAAAGCAGTTGTACAAACAAATGTGCCTTTCCTTGCCTTCAATTTGATTAAGCTATCGACAGAGCAGTAAGTTACACTTCCACACCTTGTGTTCGTAATGTTCTGAAAATCAAAGTAAAATAAGAAAAGTCAAAATATGATCATTCTCAGTAAATGAGAACGCAATTAAATAATTGGGAACCATTGTGGGACCAAGTTTTAAGATTTATTAGCAGGTATTATGGTACCTGCATGTGATTTAATTTTTTTTTACTTTCATGGTTTTTAAACAGTTCTAGTCCTTCTGTCACCTACCTCTGATGTTCTTTGACGACAGCCAGGACATCATCAGAAAGGTGTCGTGAGTCCTCTGAGAACCTGAAAAGCTCCTTGAGTTGGGCCTTGAGAAGTTCCACCTGGGACTCCTCCCCAGCCAGAGTATTCCTGACGCCCTGCAAAAAACAAAATGGCAGCAAACTAAATGGTGTGATATTTACCACAGACATGTTGTTTAATGCCATGTTCACATCACATCATTCACAGTAAATACAAGTCAGCCTCCTGACTGTAATACTGTAATTCTGAGTTAGAGATATGGGATATTTCCCAGTTGGCTGAAAGAATGACAGAAATGTCATCAAACCCACGGCAAAATGACTGCAGAGCCACCAATTCAAATCCAATATTAACACTAATACAGGCATTCAGCTAAATAGAAAGCAGATATAGATGGATATATGACTGATATACAATGGTCAACAATTCAACCACTACAAAGATGTAACACAACAAAAATAGCTCATTTAGGCTGTAAGGTATGACTACAAGGCTGGTACCATCTATGAGGAGGATTTCCTGTTCTTCCCATTCTGCCAACTCTGCATGAAGGCAGCATGATGCCAAATAGTTGCAGTTAAGCGGCTCAGCTCCACAAAAAATTTCCAGAATGTCAAAAAGTTGTCATCTCTGACTGCTGTGCTGCCTGACTGGCATCAGTAAACTTCCAATAGGCCCTTTCCATACCTTGGCTATGTGTCAATGCCACACTAATACTATGAAGTATTGTGTTCTCATGTTAACATCACACACAGAATTTTATTTTTTAATTAAAGATAAATCTATGTAGTGCAAACTAAATAAAAATTATGTTTAATGTGTGTAATAATAAATGTGACATGAACCCGTTCAGTATTGAAAACTTGAGAACCGTGGCACCACCATCTATTATTCTTTCCCACTTTGCTTTTCAGCTTTCAGCTGAATTGTGAGGCTACCTTTCCTGCGGTGGACATTTTGACTAGTCGCAGCAAGAACTGCACAGGTGCACCTAATAGCAGCAGTGATGGCTCTGTCACATTCAGATGTGCCAGTCAGCCAGAATGCACAATACCAAAGCCCTGGAAGTGGCTCATGTAAACAGACTGCAGCCATTTCTAATGTCACAATGGACTAAATAACACAGCTGCACATAATAAACAATGAGTAAACAACAGTTTTATTATTTGTATTGTTGTGAGTGGCTGCTAATTGGCACGGTGGAATGAAACATACCCATAATTACTTTTATCAGTTCCGGTGGTGATTATTACCCTGCTATGACACATCTGTGAAAAGAATCCATTGAAAAGCAAAGCTGCACTAATGTGAAACCCCCAAATCAAACTTCATTAACAAATCTAACTACTGATAGAGCTAGATATATACACTTTAAAGCTGCAGTGGAACGGTTATAAATATATGCTGACACTTTCAATATATCCTGACAGTAACTAATATTAATAACTAATAGATGCACAGCAACTGTCTTCTGACAATAGTACAGTCCAGTCCAAATTGTGTCTCAATATAAATACAACTGTTAGGCCTTAGAGTTTGTCAGCAAACATTACTAAACCATCAGCATCATACAGATCAAGAAGGCCATTAAACAAGTCAGGGATAAAGTTGTGGAGAAGTACTATGCAGTTTTAGGTGGTAAAAAAAGATATCTAAGGCAATATCTCACAAAGTAACAGAATTTCCACATTGTGGGACAAATAAGGCAATATCTTATCTTAAAGTAAATCCATCTTTTGAAAATTGAAAGAATTTGGCACAACAGAAAATCTACTAAGAGAAGGCTGTCAACCTAAACTAACGGACCAGGCAAAGAGAGCTTTAAACAGAGAATCAGCCAACAGGCCAATGGTACCTCTGGAGCAGCTGGAAAAGCAACACGATCAGGTTGGGAGAATATGTCCACAGGACAGCTATTAGCTGTGCCCTCCACAAATCTGGAGTCATAACAAATCCTGTTTGGAGTTTGCCAAAAGCCATGTGGCAAATACAGCAAACATGTGGAAGAAGGTGCTCTGGTCAGATGAAACCAAAAATTTAACTTTTTGGCCGTGGTCCAAATCCTATGTGTGGCAGAAACCAAACACTGCACATCACCCTGAGCACATCACCCCCACAGTGAAACATGCTGTGGGGATGCTTTTCATTGGCAAGTAATGGGAAACTGGTCAGGAATGAGGGAAAGAGGGAAGGAGTCAAATACAAGGTATACTCTACTCACAGCACCTCTCTCTGCACCAGGATATAAACCAGTGAGTGGGAAAAACAACCAACCAGAGGTACCAAAAGAGCTGCAAGAGACTTTGCAAGGTACACCTTCCAGCAGGACAATGACTCTGAGTATACAGCCATAGCTACACTGGAATGGTTTAAGGCAAAAAATGTCACTGAATGTCACTGGATGTCACTGAATGCCACTGAATGACCCAGTCAAAGCCCAGACCTTAATACAACTGAGAATCTGTGGCAAGATTTGAAAATTGCTGATCAATCCAATCTGACTGAGCTTGACCTATTTTGCCAAGAAGAGTGGACAGAAATTGCAGTTTCTAGATGTGCTCAGATGGTAGAGACAAATCCCAAAAGCCTTTCCATTGTAATAGTTCTACATAGTATTGACTCAAGGGGGGGGGGGGTCTTTTGTATCCAACAGATTTGTTTTTAATTTGTGTCCTGACCGTTCCTCAAATGTCTTGTTTTGTCCCCAACCTAAAGATATTCACTTAACTGTCATAGAGAACATTGGACATTTTTTCTTCAAAAAGGGCTCAAAACGATAATTGATTATCAAAATAGTTGGGGATTCATTTAATACAACAACTTAATTGACCAATTGTTGCAGCTCTGGTGAGCACACAACTGTTCTACAAGGTTAAGGCCATTAATGAAGCAGGTTCTGTAATTCTTTTGGCATTTCTTTCCACTACCTGCCAATGCAAATTCTGAGTAGTAAATTATTTCATCCACAACAGCATCTTTGCAATGTAGATAAACTGGAGTTGTTTACAATCCATTAGACGTCTCCAACTAAAAGTGAAAACACATTGTGTCACAGCGAGCTGACAGCCTGTCTAGATTGTAGTAGATGACAGACAGATGAGTCCACCAGGGCATTCCAGTCACACCCTATAGAAGCAGCTCCACAGGTGCACAGGTACAGAACTGTTGCTCTAGAAGATTCTCTGTGAACTGTCTCCTGCTGATTCTGCCCTTTATCACAGGCTGCAAACACATAAAAATATGTGAAGGCTATATCCTGTAGAGGCAAAGCTTGGCATGTTTTTCCCCCCATTGTTTTCAGTGGTAAGGAACTGCTTACTGATCCACAGCCAGAAGTGACTTGCCAGAAAAGAGGTGGATGAATCTGGTATATGTCACAGTGTGAGACACCCAGGGAGAAATAATGATCTGACTGTGACTCTACTGTACCACACCTCTCTGAGGCATTCAGAGGATCCACGAAAGTGACAAAGCAGCTCCACTGGGCTGCTGGATTCTGTTTCTGGCATGTGAGATAGACTGTAAAATATACTGTGATGGAGATAAAGAATCCAGTCATGAGTCATCATGTCAGGGCATGTAGATTTTATCACCTCTATAAGAGGAGGAATGATGTTTGTGTATGGAGGAAAGGCATCAAGAGAAGGCATTAAAATGAAGGCTGTGAAGAAGAATGGATAATAGCAAGAAAAACAGAAAAGATAGGGGGAGGACGTACAGAGTGCAAATATTTGGGTATGCTGGGAAGAGTAGATTTAACTGAGAATGCTGAAGCAAAAAGAACTCTAACCCACAACTGGGTGTCAAACTTCTATTTGACATTTATGGACTGTCAACACCTATAAATAATAACACAGGATGTTTTCTTTCTGAACTTTAACTCTAACTGTTGCTTTTTTCTATTGATGTTAGAAAGGTTAAAAGGGTTTTAGGGGCTTTAAAGCTAGGGTACATAATGCTGGGGAAAATAGCTAGTCTAACTTATTAGATTTGTCTATATTTACATGCACTTAACCGTAGTTATAGTTAGCTTTCTCCAGTAAACTGATTTCTTAAATGTATAGATATATAGAAAAAAAAAATTAGGGGATACTTGGTTTCTTCTGGAGCATGCAGATTACTTAGAGATGTATGACCATGTTTCATATGGGATTTTTACAAAAAGACTGCACTCAGGGAAAGTAACACACGAGTGGCTGGATGAAAGGAGAGATTTCTCATGTTTAAAATAGTTCCAAAGAGCCAAGGCGTTAAAATAAGAAATCCATGCTACCAAAATAAGGTTGAGACCTCATTCATCATTACTGACCTGCTGCATAGATACAAGAATTTATTTCTAACCTGGTTACTTAAGTAACCCAATGCCCACTGATTGTCTCACAGTAAATATCATTACATTGCCAAACCCTAACAAGAAGAGCAGTGTCGGTTTCCTCTGCTGTACTTGACAGCAAAAGCTCTCTGTCTACATAGATTTGACACAATCAGTAAAAAGTAAAACAAGTGTCAGGAAGAGTCAGTTGAAGTCATATCTTGTACACACACATACAGCACATCCACCTGACATTGAGTTAATATCTGAATTTTAACTTCTGTTGACTGCGTTTGCACTCTCACGTTTTAGAACTTTGTGAGAATTACACGCCAGAAACCTCTTGTGTAGTCAACTTTCATGCATCTAGACTTCATTTCTACTAAACTAAAGTGTTTTAAACGTACTACTGATAAGTTACCATATATTTCTTCCACTGGCCAACCATCTGCTCCTCTGTGCGGTCCTCGGCCTCGCGGTTCTCCTCCAGTTCCTGGTCCATCCCCTGCAGCATTGCCCTGAGGTGGCCAATGTCTTCTCCTAGCCGCTGGCACCTGGTCACGTACTGGCTGTGGGAGTCCAAGCTGCAACGCAGGCCCTCCTCTGCCTCACACAGGCCCTGCCTCAGCCTCTGCCAGCCAAGCCTCAACTCCTCGGCCTGCTCCACCACCACCTCCGCACCCGCAGGAGAGGTGTTGCCCCTCACCGCATCCGCCACACCCTCGATGTGCTGCAGGGTCTTCTCCTCACCAGCCACGCTGTCGTCCAGAGCCTGACACAGGGCCAGGAGAAATATTACAAAGGTACAGCTGGAATAAATATAATACAACTTGGTTTCAAATCAATTCAAAAATCGATTTGCATTAGAAAAGGAATCTGTCTTAATCTTTGTTTTAACAAGATATTACAGCTAATATTGAGCTCGATTTAATTCAATTTTCAATTCAATTNNGAGCAGGTCTAGACCGCACTTCTTTTAACATTTACAGAGACCCAACAGCACCACCGTGAGCAAGCACTTGGCGACGGGGGCAAGGAAAAACTGCCTTTTAACAGGCAGAAACCTAGGACAGACCCTTCGGCTCTAGGTGGGTGGTCGTCTGCCTTGACCAGATTTAAGCAGTAATAAGATACAGCACTGGTTTGCATGATATCTCAGCAGAGGAACAGATTACTTTCCTTATTTTAAGAGTAACACCACTTCTCAGTTTGAGAGACAGTAGCCTCGTCCCAGTGTTGGAAATGAAGCAGCTGTTTAGTTTTTCATATTCATTTAATTAAAAATAGGAATGCTGCTGGTGCCTTCATGTAAGAAAAAGTAACTTATTTCTATTATGTTGTTGGAAGAAATTGTGTCTTATTTATTTAATTATTCATCTTCAAATTTTTCAATTCAGATCAGTAAAGTGGCCTTACCCCATTGGCAGGTTTTGTTGCTCAGTACAAGAATATTTTATTTTGATTGAGAATGTTTCTAGAAGGTTTATTTGTACAGTGCTTAACATGAAATATTTCTGACTACTGAAATTCTGACAAAGAAATAAAGGCCAGTTGCTAATAAAGGCCTTGTAGAAACCTGTACAAATACAATGAATAAAATCCACTTTGTGTCTGTTTTAGGGCTCGTCTCCATATAGCGTTAAGCACCAGTGTCTTTATTCAGTTGCTCCCAATGAGGAGAGAGCAATTGTGGCAGCATGTGGCCGCCTGCCGGCAGTGTCTTTTTTCAGAGCACTGCAAAGGCTCTTTTGTGAGCCCGTTCCAACCAATTCTATATCACAGGGCAGCAGATTGGGAAAGCAACAAATTACAAATACTTAATTAATGTACTTAAGTAGTTTTTCTAAGTAGTATTTATTTAGTATTTATTACAACTTCTACATTTTTACACAAATATCTGTCCTTTCTACTCCTTGCATTTGAGGGCAATCATCGATTATTATTAGTTTTTGCAACATCAAGACTGGTGCATAGCACGCATGACAGACTGGTGTGGGGATAGTTAGTCAAAAGCTCATTACTCTTTTTAAAAGTATATTATTACTTTACTTATTACTCACTGCCAACAGTAATTAGTTACACTGACAGTTATAGTACTTTTCTTCTACTCCTTACAAAATTGGTAATTGGGAATATTTCCAGCTGCTGAATGTAAGTTTCCATCTTCCAAACTAGTTTCCTTTACAATTACAAAAATTAATCCAAAGATGTGATTGGATCGTTGGTTTTTAAATATAATAAAAGTAAAAATAGTAGTCAAATAGTAATTAGTTACACTACTAGTTACTTGGGAAAGTAGTATGGTTGATCACTATAGGGACACAAGCCTCAGCTCTCTTTACTGTGTAAGCACTGCGCCACCAACATTTTTCAGTGTTTTTTTTTATGCATTATCTAAATGCAATTCTAGTTTGGAATGCACAATAATAATCTGGGCCGATTCTTGTCTTGTCTTTATTTGTGCTTTCCCATTTAATGTTACAGACCACCTTTACTATACTGTATCCATCCATGTATGCCCCTTTGATGTTTTTCTGCAGTGGCACCATTTACCATGAGGATAATAATAATAATTTATAGAGTCTGAATAAATCACTCTACATAGAACATTCTCCCTTTTCCCCAAACAAACAGTTTTGAGACTATCAGCATGGCGACATCAAACAGCAGCTTCCTAATTCACTTTCAGTGAGTCTCACTTGTAAGGCTTTGAGCTTGTCCTCGGCCGTATCCTCCTTCTCCATCAGATCTGTCAGCTCCTTGGTTTTTGTCAGCAACCACGACTGGAACCTCTGAACGCAGCCTTGGTACGTCTGGTGCTCCACAGCAATCTTCTGAAGCTGCGTCAGGCGCTCCTAGCACAGCAGGGGACACACCTCATGGTAATTTTTAGCATGGCATTGTTTAAAATGATCTTTCAGCGCACATCACAGACTTCACATTCTGGGTATCTGAGCGAGGAGCCTGAAAGTGAATTTGTATTCTCCTGCGAGACTCTCTGTTGTCTATTACTTCAACTACATGCTTCTTGAGTGCATGTTGAAATTTTAAAAAAGGAAAACACAAAGAGAACCAACAGGAGCCAGTTCACAGGGAGGAGGTGCTTCCAGGAAACATTATCCTATAAAACACAGCATTATTTAAATCACAACTTTCCCATTTGCAGTCAAAAGTACAGCTTTTGCTGGGAGACTGGTGGGTGTGAATGTGTGATGTGAGTTCAGACTGACGTGGGTGTGTGGTTAAATCTGACTGACATTTGAAAGAGCTGTGTGAAAAGGGAAGAGGAAGAGCAGTCTCATTGTGTGGCCCACGGAGGAGAAAAGCAGCCAGCATGTATCCGTTAATGTTCACTAATCCAACAGCATCTTTACTCTGAATGTAAATTATTCCCGTCAGAAATGTTGGCTCCCTCTGCAGCGTCTGGATCTGATTATAGATGCACAGAATAAATATCAGCATGCTTTTCATTAACCTCAGATTTATGTACAGTTGCGTGGCTTCACTCGGCAAAAGCATGAAAGTAGTAGAAGTAAACAGGAATTGAAGTTTGAAATCCTCGCTCTTAATGTAAATTGGGGTCTCACTGATTTGTGGGCACATACTGTATGCTTGCACTTCGATTCAAAATGTCACCAAATACAATGCAAATCCCAGCCAACCAGATAGCCTCCCCCTCACACACCAGCATCTCCCTAGTGGAAACATTCCAGACATTTGACCAAATGACCACAGTTCTAGCTGCTTCACATACATACATGCTGACTAACTTTACATACTAAACTTCATCAACAACATATGTGTGGGTGTGTGTATAGCACGTGTGTGCATGAATGAGAGCATAACAAAAATGGTAAGTCTCTGTTCAAGTGTTTATCAAGCTTCCTGTTACAAAGCTCTTCCTCCTTCCAACAAAGGAGTTCTCTTTTGTTTTACTCAAGAGGATTAACATGCTTCCATTTCATTTTATCTCTTTGAGTGTTTTTCATTTTCTTTCCTTTTCTCCTTCTTTCTTTATTTGTATTTGTAAGTATTATTCTGCACACATTCATGCTGATCTGTGTGCACTTTTACATAAACCACAAGCCTGTGAGTCTCCTTTGCATCAGCATAAGCAGGGCTGTCGCAGGCTGTGTGCAAGACCCTAATCACTGACATGCATGAGCACAAACCACAGTATATGGTGGTGGTTGCATGGCACAAAATCAGTGTGAAGTGGGCCACATGGTGACACAACATTAAAACAAAAAGAATGAATAACTTTTACAACATTTGTTTGTTTCATATATCTTGCAAACACCAAATGTGCACTATACAGCATATGCAACACACTGCCAACACTGGAGAGTATTTCTTCATTAAAAGAATAGCAAAGAACGCCACTGAAGGCTTTCCTTGATAGAAAAAATAGGGCGCACACCTTCTGGTGGGTTGGCCGACATGCTCTTGTCCAGTCAAATTCTCAGTGGCCAATAGCTGATGTAACATTAATAAGGAGAAAAATTAATGAGAGAGTAACGAGGGCTAATAACGGGCTAGCAACGAAGGTTCAAGCTCAATGATGGATCGATAACATTATCGACTGTCCATAACCCCAAATCAAATTTGAAAGCTGTAACTTTTGCTCTGTTGTTGTTGTTGTTTTAGTGTTAATGTTGTTGTTTAGCCTGCTGAACTTTGCTCTAGTATTTGCTAGGTGGCTACTGCCTCAGGCAGGGGGATTTTGGACTAATGTTGTAATACTGAGGGACAGTAAATAGAACCTGTGTGAACGTTAAGCCTCATTTAAAGCCAACTTAATAACAACAGTAATAAGTTGGATGCTGGTAAGTGCTTTATCTGGAACTGCAGCGCTCTATACTGCATAAGCTTTGTTACTGTACTGAAGCCCTTGTTGCTCTGCGGTCATTGCCTGTATTTGTGTGTGTGTCTGCTGTATGTAAATTTGATTCACATGCCCTTAAGGAGTCAAAGTACAAGTTTAGCAAGGCGGTGAGAGAAGCTAAACGTCAGTACTCTGAGAAACTTCAACATCAGTTCTCAGCCAATGACTCTGGTTTTAACCTAGAGATATGTGACGCAGTGTTTTCTGACCATATGCCTGTATTATTTGAGGCTGCTGTTTCCTGTCACACAGTTAAACCTCGCGCTGCTGCTCGGCGCTGTCGCATTATTAACCCTTCCACTGCTGCTCAGTTCTCGGTTGCTTTCAATCAGAACTCCATCATTCCTGAGTCTGTGT